GAGTCAAATTGGACTCAGTTCTCTTAGCTGGCACCAATCTCGCCTCTGCATCACATTGCCTTTCTATTATCTTTAGTTGTTTGTGGCCAAAGGAAGGGGATGATGTAATGTCCTACCTGAGTTGTACTTTACCTAACTGACCATCTTGTATCTCAGCACTTGGTATAGAAGGAAGACTAATTATACTCTGATGGTTCTTGGGCTACAACCCACCCACTATATTGATTCTCACTTTTCTGGTCCATTTCGGATCAACCTACTCACCAACCCATTGTCTCTATGATCTTGCATTTTTTGGTATTCTTTTTAATTTGTTTATCTCACATTCTCTTTAATAGAATGGCTCCAAGATAAATGATTAAGGGATGGGAACATTTGGTGCAGGAGCATCCTCCAAGTAGACTGTGTGACGTGGTATTCTACCTAGAGCAATCACTGGTATCCTTAATGGCGGTTACATATTAAAAATTGGACTAACATAATATTAAAGCACTGGAATTGGAGTGCATGGACTTGAGTCACAGCTCATGTGCTTATAAAGAAATGCAGTTTCAGTTATCTGCCCAATCATTCAATTTCCTCACATGTAAAATCAGGATAAATATAGTCCTTACTTTATAGGCTCATTAAGTGAACAAAACATGGAAAACTCTTAGCCTAGTAGCCCTGCTCATAGTAAGTAGATTACAGCTATGATAAGTTGTAATTATAGGGCACTGGGGATTAGGGAGAATATGGCAGGAATGGGCACTCTCAGTTTGATCTTGTGCTGACTTGATTGCCACTCAGTCTAAGCATCAGAGAACTAGGCTCAGAAAGTCCTACAGGCCATCTTTTCATAACATACCAAGACTAAGACTGATCTTCCCAGAGCCAGGGAAGGACTCAGTTGAGACAGATCCCTCAGACCAACCCTCAGATCCTGTCAGTTCCTGGGAGTTGAAGTTTTGGCATCATAACCATGATCTTTTGATATCCATATCTACTCATCCATTCCCAATATTGTCCTGACCCACTATTGATACTGATCTCTATCTTGGGCCTTGGACATGGTTCCTTGGTTCCTAAACCTTACAGTCTAGAGGGGAAGAAAGACTAATCAAACAAGATAACTTGTCAGACACCAGTGGCTCATGCCTGTAATCCTAGCGTCTCAGAAGGCTGAGATCTGAGGAACACAGTTCAAAGCCAGCCCAAGCAGAAAACTGTGGAACTCTTATCTCCTATTAAGCACCAAAAAGCCACAAGTAAAACTGCCACTCCAGTGATAGAGTGCTAGCTTTGGGCAAAAATAAAAAGTTCAGGAACCCAAGAGTTCCTGACTTCAGGCTCCAAGATAAGATAACTTAAAAACAAAATTGCAAGTAGAAGATTAGGTCTACAGAAATGAATTGGCTACCTGTTACATTGCCGTTGTATCTTTATTAATTAGGTCAATGCCCCACACATCACAGGTACTATATGCACGTTGGCTGAAAAGGCTAATCAACACATGGCATGGAAGCAGCTGTTAGAAACAATGTGTGAGAAGTGCACAATGGGGGATTGGTCTCCCTGAGAGGTCAGCAAGGCTTCCTTCAGAAATACAAGTTGAAGCTAGGCACTGGTGACTCATGGGAAACTGAGATTAGGAGGGTCATGGTTGGAGGCCAGTCTAGACAGAAAATTTTCTGAAATCCTCTTCTTAAACCACAGCTTAGAGCACTAGTGCATTCCTCTCACTGCAAGCTTCCAGTAAGGCCAAGAATGGCAAAATTGTGATTCCAAAACAGCCTGAGCAGAAAAATCTGAGACACGCCCCGGAGGGAAGCTAGAGGTGGTGATGTGTCACTGAATGCCAGCAACAACAGGAAGGCTGAAGTAAACAGATTGCAGCCCAATGGCACACTCAGATAGGAAGTGACAGTTATCTCAAAAATAACCAGTGAAAAAAGTGGGGCTAGAGGTATGACTCAAGTGGTAGTTTTCCAGCCTAGCAAGTGTGAGGCCTTGAGTTCAAAACCCAATACAGTGCACATGCGCACGCGTGTGCGGGCGGACACACACACACCCCCCCCCCACACACAAATAGATTGTAGAAAGGTAAGTAGAGTCCAATCAGTGAAATAAACGAGGTTGAATTATAGTATAGTTAGGATGCTGTATTAGAGGACAAAGGAGACCTTATAGAAGAGGAAAATAGATGTTTTTCAGGGAAATAATTCTGGCAAGCATATGAATGAAAGCAGCGACAGGATGGCCCATGTCACTGGAGGAACTACAATTGCTGGCATGTATATAACAGATTTTATTCCGTTGTATCATCTTACTCAACATTATGCCATTAATAATTCATGATGACCTTCTTATGTCACGAGCCAGGAAAACGTCATTCCAATTTCAGCTCAGTCAACTAAGTGTCATAGTCTTTGGGTGTTGTCAAAGACACACATTTAAAACCACTTGTGAATGCCCTTGTTTATTCCTCTCACCAGACTTTTGAGGAAAGTATTAAGCTCCTCGTAATGCATGAAAAAAGGGATAGTGTAAGTGTGATTAACACATGATTGAACTGGGATGTGAAGCTATGTGCTATGAAATTATGCCCCTCTAAGATTCTTAAAGAAAACCTCTACCTACATTGCAGTTTTGTCCCTACAGGACTTTAATTATATCAGAATTGGACTATCCCATGGATTGATCTTCTTGGTGGATTCCATATTCCAGTTGATTCAGAATTATATAGGACTGGTATTTGGAGTTGGAACCTGTAAGAAGGTATGTAAAGCTAAATGGCTTCACAGAAGTGAGGCCTGGATCTTGTATAATCAAAACTGAGCTCTCTGGAGCCTGTACCTTCTATCACTAGCCTTTAGAATGATAAGAAAACAAACTATTGTCTTATAATCCACCCAATCTCTTGTGTAGCCTGAGAAGAGAAATGGAGTCTTAGGATACATTGGCTATTATTATCTTCTGTGAAACACGATTTTTTCCTTAGTTGACAGCAGAGAGGTACAGAACTGAAATTAATCCTTTCTACATCACATTCCATACTACTGGCAATCTTATTAACCCAAGGAGTAAGTTGAGGTCAAGGGACACATGACATTCTAATCCCATCCTTTGTCTTCAGTGTTATCAAGAGTCATGGACTGGAATTCCTGATCCTCACAATCTGGCAGCTATGTCTGTGATTGCCCTGGATCAAGAGTGTTAAAAGTGACAGTTGTCAATTCAAATGTTACCACTTTCCATGTGACTAAGATTGACATCCTAGATGGCAGAGCTGCGAGTCTTTCACACAAAGGTTTGGGAGAATTGAGGACCAGAGCTAAGCATCAGCTACTGCTTCTCCAGAATGTATGAGTGAAATCTATGTGTGTGACTGTGTGGCTTTCTCTTCTTATCCTCTGGGAAACCCCAGTATCCAGGGTTCAACTCTAGATCACATCCAGTACCTGTTTATTAGCTGTGAGTACTTCATTGTTACACACCTTCTTTTAATTTATCTACAAAAGGGGGGGTAATAATCTGTCCTATATAACACTGACAGGATTCCTAGAAATCAGTAAATATCTGGTAAATAATGGATATTGCCATTAGGAATAATAACTTCAACTATTTCTATTTTAAAAGACAGTTTTCAGCAGTAAGTCAGTATCCCTCTTTGCCTTGGGCTGAAGGAATAAAATATTCATACTAGGATGATTTTTCCTTAGAGATAGCTATCTAATAATCCATTTGGTCTCTGGGCTGAGTTCCTCTTGGTATTTCTGAGTTCAGAAATAGCAGAATGTTCATCCTTGTTAGAGGAAAGCAAATAGAAGTTTGTTATTTGCAGGGGGAGGTGGAGGAGGCTCTTCTCTGAGATCTGTAATGGTACTTCATAAGTGTCTGTGAAAGCCATCATATTCTATATGCTTATTGTCTAAACTGCGTAAACCCAACCCCTTGAATTTCATCCACTATGGAGAGTTCTCCAGGGAGGGGAGCAGGCAAGCCTATCTTTGAAGTAGGCTTAAATACAAAAGCATAGGCATTCAAGCAGGCAGAGGACAGAAGGAACATGCTGTACCCACCTGCCACTGCTGATGAGGGGCTTATTTCTAAGACACACACAGCACAATGCACACACAATGCAGAGAGAAAACAAAAGACATAGATCACACATTTCAGATGGTTGGTGGACAAAGTTTAGTTCATGTCAACGCTGAAAGCTTGTTCAGGGTCTGAGATGGAAATGGGAAAATGAGTCCCTCTTCATCCTACTTTTCCCACACTAAACCTTAGCAAATAAGCACATATATACACACAGACACATTCATCAATATCACAATAAGCTGGCCCTGGCCACGGCATGAAATGTTGCACAAGGATCTGGACACGGTAGTGAGGGAAGTTGGAGGGAAGAAGGGCTTTCAAAGAAGCCATTCATTCATGGGTCCTGACTGCTCTCCATCGATATGGGAGAAATTGAGTTTCAGGAAAGGTCTCACGCTGCAATTGCGAATAAAGCATGCATCTGATGAGGGCCTGGACCTCTGCTCCATTCATTTCAGTGAAAGAGAACATGCATGGGAGTCAATGTGAGAATCATGATGGCAGTTGCTAACTTGGTTTGATGCTATGAATAATAACCCCAGAATCATCGACTCTTACAACAGAAGCTATCTTAACTCACATCTCCTTTGTCCCCATAAACACTTAGAATATACTACAATCAAACTGTCCCATGGATCTACCTTCTTGGTGGATTCCACATTCAAGTTGACTCAGATTTTGGTTTACTCCTTTTGAAAGGGGTCAATCTTGCCGTTCAATAACCGGGAAAATCAAATTACCTTGTAAACAACACTGTCTCTTATGGCAGGGGAATGAAGGTGAGGAGTTTCTTATCTAAGGTTGGGTTGAGCAGTATGGACGGACACAGGCCAAACAAAGCATGCCTTTCCTCCCTCCCGAGTCCCTGGAGATCCCCAATGTGGCTGAACCAACTGCATCAGGCTTCCTGCACTCACCATACAGTGTGATGCTGGCATTGGTATTTCCAAGCTTGTTTGTAGCCACGCAGGTATAGTTCCCATAATCCTTCTCTGAGACGTTGAAGAAAGTCAGAGTGGATATACGGCCCTTGTTCTCAATCCTTACTCCGTCCAGGCCAGTGGCTAACCTGCAAAAAGAGAAAGCATTATACTGATCACTACTTATCACATGAAAGATTAGCCTAATCATAGATTTATTCCACAAGGAGATGTTCTTTCTCCAAACCTTTTCCCCTAACTAGACTGCCTTCTCCAACACAAACCTTAAGTAGTATAACCCAAAAGGAGGAAAAAGGAAAGGGCAGATGTGCTCAAAAGATAACTTTTCCTTGCTTCTAGTCATCACTCTACCACAGTGATGACTAATCTCAGATTCTGAAAAAACAAGGTCAATTTGTTTTCTTGACTTCCCAGCTTCTTTTATTTTTTACCTTCTGGCTCTGAAAAAGAGCTTTGTGACAAAGAAAGCAGTTTTGCCTTTTTCTTTCCCCTGTACTTTATCACCCTCCTCCATCCATGTGGGGAATCTGTCATCATTGAAGTACCAAAGCCACCATAATTCCTTCAGGGTACCTTGTGTCCTCTTTGAACCACTGAAATTCGGCCATGGGAACAGCAGAGGCTTCACAGCTCAAGATGCCTTTCTGGCCTACTGACACACCAGTGTTCTTGGCTTTGGAGATATAGGGAGGATCTGTGGGGAGTAATCGAGCACACAAACAAACATCACTACAGGATGATTACAGGAAGGAATGAATGACACCTCCCGTTTATTAGGTGTCTTATGAAGATATGACATTTCTTCTAGGCCTTCCCACCCATTTTACATGAGCAGCTCTCTCTGTCTGCAGAAGGCTCTGATGTCCTAGGAAGATGCCAAGGACACAAATGGCACTAGGAAACAAGGATAGGGAAAGCAGATACCCCTGAGTTGTGGTCTTCTGGTAAATGATATTAGCATCACCCAGCTTGGCACCTTAATCGCTGTCCACCTGCTCCCCCTGAAAATTCTGTGTAGTAATGAACTCACAGTTTACGGTGATTTTTACTTTCCGCACATCTGGTGCAGCGACATCGTTCAGAGCACTGCATTCGTACTCCCCCGATTGGTCACGTTTGATATCAGAGATTTCCAGATATTCATCCTCACTCACAAAGCCCTGGCCTTCTGGGAAGACAGAGAGACAATAAAAACAACAAGGAAACCGTTAAGCTAGTCTCCAAACCATATTCACATCTAGAGCTCCTAGAAGGAGCAGGGGAGCCGTTTAATAAAGGCATTGGAGCTGCAAAACAAAGGTACATGACATCATGAAGGAAGAAATTCTTGGAGTCTTGGATCAGCATTTTTTCAGGGAAGCCACTTTAACTTGTGCAGAGTACCTGGTAAGGAAGGAATATCATTGTATTTTCTTTAAAGATTATTGGGAAGAGTATTAATTATCCCAATACATGAATAAACCTTGATGTTTTAAAGAAAATTGTCATGCTCAATAGTATGGTAAAACATGTGGAGTAAATTTAGACTATGTTACGATAAATGATATCTTTTTCCTGTGTATAGAAATGCAGTTATATATGTTAAAAACATATTATAAAAACTAATTATAGGGGGGAAGGAAGCAAATGTTTTATACTTCAGGACAAATAAATTCAAATCAGTGGGTCAGTTTCAACCAAAATGGAGAACACATAGCTCAAATGAAGCATTTCATTATATATGTACGTATATATGTATATATACACATACATACTTACAGATAGATCTCTCTTCATATATATATGTGTGTGCGTGTGTTTAGAGACCATAGGACAGGCATGGTAGAGCACAGAATCCCACCTACTTAGAAGGCAGAGATAGGATGATCACAATATGAGGATAGCCCTGGAAAAAATGCAAGACTCTAAAAAACAGAATGAAGTCAAGAAGACTTGGGATATGGCCCTATGGAAGCCTTGAGGTTGCCCAATACTGCCAAAAGAAGAAAGGAAGGAAGGAAGGAAGGAAGGAAGGAAGGAAGGAAGGAAGGAAGGAAGGAAGGAAGGAAGGAAGGGAGGGAGGGAGGGAAGGAAGGAGGGAGGGAAGGAGGGGAGAAGGAGGGAGGAATGGGGGGAGGGAGGGAGGGAAGGAGGGAAAGGGAAAGAAAAAGTTTCAAATGTTTTCTACTTAAACATTAAGAAATAAACCTTCTTTGTTGCTTTGTATGTCCCTCCCCCATGGTATAACCCCTGCTTTCACTGTATTTGATGTTGGTATAATTTGTGGAGGGGAAGGGAAAAAAACAAATCGTTTAAATAGGGATACAGGTGGACCCATTGCAACAATGAGATGTACAAGACGAACTTTACAACTTTGGTGGAGGGTGGGGGGGATAGGGAGTGGGAGATGGGAAGGGGAAACAAAGGAGGAGGCAACAATAAGAAATGTACTCATTACCTTGCCCATGTAATTGTAATTGCGGGGAGCCGGGGCGAACGCAATTAGACGCCGCCCACTCCCTTGCAGCTTTGAGGTAAACAACTCCATATTAGGCAGTGTTTGGCAGGACGGTGGGTCCTGGGCTTTGCGCATGCGCGAGCCACGTAAAGTCCCCGGCCAATCCCGTGGCACTTGGTGACGGTGAAAGGCAGACGACCAATGATAGAACGACACGTGTCCCTATTCCCTATATAAGCGGCCATGTTTTTTGTGCACGCTCTCTCGCGCTCAAGCTCTCCTACAAACAAGAAGGCTCTCCAATAAAGTGTGATCTGAGAAGACTCCTGGTGTGGTGGTTGTTCTTCCTCGCTGGCCGAGAAGGCGTTTGCCGCACCTCTGTATGGTATTTTCACAATGAAAAAAATCCCCTTATAAAACAAATTGAAGATTAATTAAGTATACAGTGGTGCTGGGTGCCCAAGGCTCATACCTGTAGTCCTAACTATTCATGCAGGCTGAGATCTAAGGATCTCTCAGGCAGTTCAAGCCAGTCTGAGAAAGGAAAGTCCATGAGATTCGTTATCTCCAATAAGCTACCAAAATGCCAGAAGTGTAACTGTGTCCCAGATGTGAAGCAGGAACATGATGTGTAAGCTGAGGAAATCTTGAGGGTAGGAATTGGGATTCAGGTGTTTTGGTACTCTGAATGCTCAAGTCACTTTGTATGGATCCCTCTCTTCTCATCCTGCCATATCCTCAAACTACTTATGTCTTGGCACTTGCTTTCCCTGCCTCCATCTCCAACCCAGCATGATCATATAGGATATGTCAATATCTGGTTGCCATCCTTCAAAGATGTGATGCCCTTGGAAAACATATTTCCAGGGGCTCCCATCTACAAAATCAATTTGAGTGACCCCAAACTAGCTTCACGTGTTTCATGTTACCTTGAAAGAGAAGAAAAAAAGAAAAGAAAAAGAAAAAAGCTCAGGGAAATTGTCCATATCCTCCCTGATTTCAAGTCCCAGGAAGAAGAAGAAGAAGGAGGAGGAGGAGGAGGAGGAGGAGGAGGAGGAGGGAGGGAGGGGAGGAGGAGGGAGGAAGGTGGAGAAGGGGAGGAGGAGGAGGGGGAGGAGGAGGGAGGGACAAGGAGAAGAAGAACAAAGTATAGTGGAGTAGAGAATGAATGAGACAATTCATGTATAAAACCTTAAATAATGGCTATGTGGTGATGAGAACAGTTCACAATTTCATACCTGATCTTGTGGGGACATTCTGGAGGCCTCACATTCAAGCAGTTATGAATTTGTGACCCAAAATGTTTGCAGTTACAAAATTTGCTTTGCTTTCAGGCACCATTCTATGTTCTTGTAGCAATTTGGCTCTTTCCCTTACCCCATATCCCTCTGCCCATAGTTCAGTGGAAAGAGTGTCTCCAAACCCAAATTATTTTAGTTCTGTTTAAATGCCAGGCTTCCATGAAAACTCAACAGAAATGAAAGCCAAAGAGAAAAGCAGAGATTTTTTTTTTCTTTCTCATAGATCCACTGCTTTGTTCCTTTGTGAAAGATTAGTTTTCAGGACAATAGGAAATGGAAACAAGAGGGTTTTTTTGTTGTTGATGTTTTTGTTTTCTTGTCCTTTTGTCTTGTTTGTTCAGTTTTCTACCTTTGGGAGAGTAAGGGGAGCACAGAAATGGTAAGACAAAGGGTAAACAAATTCAACAGTGCTACTCACTAGACACTGTTGAAAATCAACTATACAACTTGTGGGTGGCGAAGGAAGGGAAAAACTGGGAGATAGCGAGGGAAAGAGGGACATTTGTAAAGAAACGTACTCTTTACCTGACTTATGTAAGTGTCACCCTTCGGTGGTATATCACCTTTACAATAGCAATAAAAATGCATTAATAAAAACAGTTCATGAGGACAATTTAAAAATTCATTTCAACTCTCCTCATCACCTAATATAGTGTGTCCTGGTGTAACAAGTGCTTACTGAAGCAAATCTGGTTCTGTCCCAGATGTGGAGCAGGATCATGTAAGCTGAGGAGAGCTTGGGGATAGGAATTGGGATTCAGGTGTTTTGTGAATGCTCAAGTCACTTCGTATGGATCCTTCTCTTCTCATCCTGCCATATCCTCAAACTATTTATGTCTTGGCACTTTCCCTGCTCCATCTCCAGCCCAGCATGATCATACAGGATTTGTCAGTGTCTGGTTGCCATCCTTCAAAGATGTGATGCCCTTGGAAAATATATTTCTAGGGGCTTCCATCTATATAATCAATTTGAGTGACCCCAAGCTAGCTTCTTTCTGATAGCTCCATCTCATAAAATTCCATGGAGAATCTCATAAAATTCCATGGAGGTCAATAGACCTACCTGTTCCCCTCCACCCAGTTGTAAAGTGCAGACTCTGGAAAATCTGTCTGGACCTGAAGGGTGGCTGACAAGTACAGGTGGAAAAGCCTACTAAAGAGGAGAAGCAAAGTCTCAGAGAGCACCCCCAGGCTCCCAGCTTACGTCTTAATGTCTATTTAACCTGACATTGCTGCCTCACTGTTCTTGGGCACCAGAGGTGAGAATAAAACAGTTTGCAGAAGATACTGTAGGGGGGCCTGGGAAGGTGGCTCAGTGGTAGAGCGCTTGCCTTGCATGCCTGAGGCCCTGGGTTCGATTCCTCAGCACCACATAAGCAAAAAGAAAAAAGCCGGAAGTGGCACTGTGGCTCAAGTGGTAGAGTGCTAGCCTTCAGCTGAAGATCTGAGAGACAGCACCCAGGCCCAGAGTTCAGGCCCCACGACCGGACCCAAAAAAAAAAAAAAAAAAAAAAAGATACTGTAGGGCCCAGAGCCTGCTTAGGTCTTGGATAAGCCTGATTTATTAAGATCTTAGGGCAATGCTGCTGCTCAAAGCCCTATATCATAATAATCATGCAGCTATCCAGATATGGATATATATATATATATATATATATATATATATATATATATATATATATCATGTCTGGATAGTCATGCAGCTATATATATATGTCTGGATAACTGAATACAAAAATACAAAAACCTTCTCATCATTTCTGAGATTTACAGAATCTTGGAGTTGAACGGGATCCTGAGAGTATTTATCTTGGAAGGTATACTAAAGATTATAGTGTTTTGTCTATTGAAACCCTATTCTCAGTATTTTCAAGGATGAAACAATAATGGAATCAAACACACCAAAATGAATTCCCAGTCTCATCTTACATTTTTCTATAATGGCATATAAATATGGCAGAATAGGAAGTCTGGCTTCCTTCTACTGAAACTCCATTATTCTTTTAAGATAGACTGGAGCAGATTTGCCATGTAATTAAGCTATGCTGCACTGAACCAACAAATGAGCTGCCTGCAGTGGGCCTGTTATGAGTCTCAGGCAGGGTCATGATTTTCTGTTCCTTAGAGAGAAAAAGAAAGACCTAGCTCAGGCTACACAGACCAGATGGTATTGAAAATCTCCCGGTGAGGCATCATTCATGCATGCCAATCAACTCAGAAGTATTGACCTGCACAGAGGAAAGGGATGTCTTCCTAGATGTTAGAGGCAATACACATTTGAAGGAGCAAGACATACCTTTCAAAGGGAATCACCAGACCACATGGCTTCTCTCTGGAATGTGGCACTTGATTTGCACTCTCTACAATGTTGTTTTATGGGATGGATATATGACAGCCAACAACAACAACAAAAAAACTGTAGGAAAA